CATCATCATCAACAGCATCGACATCATCATCATCATCATCATCATCATCATCATCATCATCATCATCATCATCATCATCATCATCATCATCATCATCATCATCATCATCATCATCATCATCATCATCATCATCATCATCATCATCATCATCATCATCATCATCATCATCATCATCATCATCATATCATCATTACCATCATCATCATCATCATCATCATCATCATCATCATCATCAGCATCATCATCATCATCATCATCGTCGTCATCATCATCATCATCATCACCATCACCATCACCACCACCACCACCATCATCATCATCAGCATCATCATCATCAGCAGCAGCATCAGCATCATCATCAACATCATCATCAGCAGCATCATCATCATCAGCAGCATAATCATCAGCATCATCATCATCATCATCATCACCATCACCATCACCGTCACCATCATCATCATCATCAGCAGCATCAGCATCATCATCAGGATCAGCATCATCAGCATCATCAGTACCATCATCAGCATCATCAGTATCATCAGCAGCAGCATCATCATCAGCATCATCATCAGCAGCAGCGTCACCAATCGTTGTTCTTTGAAGCTAACTTCTCCCTGTCGCAACGCGAGGCCGGTCGAAAGGGCAGGCCGGGCGTTTCGCCTGAGACCTCCTTACCGTTATGACCCTGAAGCTTAAACATTACCAACAGCTTCACAGATGGAGGGCGGGCCGTTTTCAAAACGTCGTTCTCGCCTCATCGCCGCGCACATTCGTTTGGAAAACGTGCAAAGAGTTGTACGGACTGAGGGCTGGTGGTTTTCAAAATGTGGCTCTCGCCTTAGCGCCGCGCACAGTCCTTGTAAACAATTACAAGCGTTTCACGGATTGACGGCGGGTGGTGTTCTTCAAAATGTGGCTCTCGCCTTAGCGCCGCGCACATTCCCTGAGAAAAGTGGCAAGGGCTTCACGGATTGAGGGCGGTTAGTTTTCAAAATGAGCTCTCGCCATAGCCCCGCGCACATTCGTCTGAAAGGTGCTAGAGTTTTACGCATTCCCATGGTCAACGTACCAGAAATGGTACGGTGGAAAGATTCAGGATTATGAGGGCGCAACAGTTACCTTTATTCGCGGTGTTGAAATCCAAGGAATGGCAATGGCGTTCTGGCACGATTCCGGATCGTAAAGACGCGACAATCAAATTGATCCGTGGCGTTGGAGCCCCGAGAATTATGTCTTGGCATGCTTCAGGGTCTGCGACGAGGCAATTCCCTCAGTGGGAATGAACCGTGATAGAGGCCTGTGAAGCGGCAGCTTGGAGGGAGGGTGTATGCCAACATAGTTGATGACTCTTAGGTTTACACTAGTCCTCCTCCTCCTCCTCCTCCTCCTCCTCCTCCTCCTCCTCCTCCTCCTCCTCCTCCTCCTCCTCCGCCTCCGCCTCCTGCTCCTCCACCTTCTCCTCTCCTCCTCCTCCTCCTCCTCCTCCTCCTCATCCTCCTCCTCCTCCTCCTCCTCCTCCTCCTCCTCCTCCTCCTCCTCCTCCTCCTCCCTCCTCCTCCTCCTCCTCTCTCCTCCTCCTCCTCCTCCTCCTCCTCCTCCCCCCCACCCCCTCCTCCTTCTCTTCCTTCTCGTCCGTCTCCTCCTCCTTCCTCCTCGTATCAATTCCCCCCCCTGTTGGGCCCTCCTGTGGGGGCTCCAGCTGCTCGCTCGCACGCTCGGCGCCCGCACACCTGCGGAGGTGGGCGTGCGGCGGAACCGACCAGGGTCCCGCGACTGGGTCTCGTCGTCGTCGTCGTAAGCGTCGTCGTAGGCGTCGTCGCAGTCGTCGTCGCAGGCGTCGTCGCAGCCGTCGTCGCAGACGCGGTCGACGTGAACATCATCGTGGTCGTCGCCGTATGGTGGTCGTCGTAATCGTCGTCGCAACCGTCGTCGACACAATATTCGTCGTGATCATCGTCGTGTGCGGAATGGTCGCGGTGGTCGTCGCAGCGTCGTCCTCGTCATCGTAATCGCCGTCGTCGTCGGCGCGGCGTCATCGTCGTCGACGCGTTGCCTTCCACATCAATCTCCTCCTCCTCCTCGTCCTCCTCCTCCTCCTCATTCTCCTGTTAGCCCTCCCCCCCTCCTCCTCCTCCTCTGGGCATTCAGGCGGCCTCTCAACGCAACGGCTGGATCCACCTCGAGCCCGATCCTGGCGGGAATGCGCTTCTGGACGGGTCCAGGGAGCGAGGAGCGGCAACGGGGAGTGAGGGGGGTTGGTCGCCGTCCTCATGGCAAAGCCCCGGGTCCGAACGTGTGCTTCACAGAACGGCCCCGAAAAGATACCTGCTACAGCGCAACAACTTCCCAACACCTCCTGAGCACACAAGCAAATGGCAAGGGCGTCACCATTCGAGTCGCCGGAGTGAGCGAAGCGGTCCGCCGCCGCTTTGGAGGACGGCGTGTGAGATGCCCGCCACACGTTTATGCTAGAAATGTCATCCTCTCTGTACTTGGACACTCTTCGTATCACCCCTTCCTCAGAATCATAGCCACCTCACCTCGGGTCCTCCCCGTGGCCCGCGCGTCTCGCTGGCCCCCGCGCCCTGGCTGCAGAATCGACGTCCGCTGGCTGCCGCTCTGCCCTGAACTCAAGCATGCCTTCGCAGGGGACGCCTACGGACACCTCTAGGCGCCGTCTGGGACTCCCCGGAGGCCCTCTTGCTGGGACTGTCTTGGGGGCCTCTTGGAACCTCTTCGGATGGCTTGGCCGCCGTCTTGGCCCCTCTCGGATCACTTTGTGCCCCTCTGGCCGCGGACCCGTTCCAGGCCAATGCGCACCAGAGCGCTCAAATGTTCGAAACGTACACCGTGCACGGAGACCCTACACACCTGAAGGCCAACGTGGCACGGCACACACACAGCACGGCACGGACACGGCGCGGGACACAGAAATGGCCTTGCGCCGCCCGCACGCACACACGGCACGCACGGCTCAGCTGAGAGCCCAGAGAGACATATGCCACGGCGCGGGGACGGCACGCGCTCTTCGCGCCCTGACACTCCGGCACAGCACAGCACGGAAAACGGCACACGGACGGCACCCTGCTCGCCTTCCGAAGCGGGCGGCACGCCGCTCGCAGCCCGAACCGGTCGGCAGGGCACCGCACGCGGGCGGCCCCCGGCTCGCACTCCAAGGCCCCCCTGTTCGGCACCGCGCGCCCTCGGCACGGCCCACGCTTCGCTGGAACACGTCGGCACGGCACGGCCCTCGCACGGCACGCGGGCGGCACGTTACTCGCACTCTCTCTCGAACTTCGGCACCTCGCGGCACGACACGCCGAACGTCGCAACATCAGCAGTATCAGTAGCATCAACATCAGCATCAGCATCATCCTCAGCATCATCACCATCATCATCAATCATCATCGACATCAGTATCATCAGCATCAGCATCATCATCAGCATCAGCAGTATCATCATCGTCATCACCATCATCACCATCAGCAGCAGCAGCAGCAGCATCAGCATCAGCACCATCATCAGCAGCGCAAACATCATCACCGTCAGCATCACCATCCTTATCAATATCAGCATCATCAGCAGCAGCATCATCAGCATCGTTATCATCATCAGCATCATCATCATAAGCAGCATCATCAGCATCCACACCATAATCAGCAGCGCAATCATCATCAGCATCATCAGCATCAGCATCACCATCACATTCAGCAGCAGTATCATCATCAGTAGCGTCAGCAGTATCATCATCCTCATCATCATCATCAGCAGCAGCATCGGCATCACCATCACTAGCAGAAGCATCATCAGCATCATCATCACCGTCATCATCGTCGTCATCGTAATCGTCATCTACCTCTTCGCTCGTCGTCGTAAGCATGATTATCTGTCCCTCCAGCTCCTCCTACTCCTGCTCCCTCTTCCATCCTGTCTCCTTCTCCTCCTCCCTCCACCCTCTTACCGCCTCCCTCCCTCCTCCCTCTTCCCTTCTCCCTCTCCCATTCTCCCTCCTCCCTCCTCCCTCCTCCCTCCTCCCTCCTCCCTCCTTCTCCTCCTTCTCCTCCTCCTCCTCCTCCTCCTCCTCCTCCTCCTCCTCTTCCTCCTCCTCCTCCTCATCCTCCTCCTCCTCCACCTCCTCCTCCTCCTCGTCTCCCTCTCCTCCACCTCCTCATCCTCCTTCTCATCGTCCTCCTCCTGCCTCCTCCTCTTCCACCCCCTCCTAATCCTCCTCCTCCTCCTCCTCCTCCTCCTCCTCCTCCTCCTGCTCCTCCTCCTCCTCCTGCTCCTCCTCCTCCTTCTTCCTCCTCCTCCTCGCCCTCTCCTCCCTCGTCCTTCACCTCCCCCCGCGCTGGCCATGTGGGGCCGTAGAACCAGCTCTCCAACATCGTCTTCGCAGCGTCGGACTGCCTCGGGGCGGCAACCAGCATCAGAGGGCAACGACGGGAGGAGGGAGGAGGAGTAGGAGGATGCGAAGGAGGAGGACGAGCAGGAACAGGAGGAGGCCGAGATGGCGGAGGAGGAGGAGGAGGAGGAGGTGGAGGAGGAGGAGGAAGGAAGGAGAAAGGAGCATGGGAGAGAGTGAGGAGGCACGGGAGAGATTCGAGAATCGAGGCTCGCGGATCGAGATGATTGCCGTTTCTGCCGTCTTCGGCCTCTTGGGGGCGTCTCGTCGCCAAAACTGAGATCACCACCCAAAACATTGTCGTCCAAACGCACCCTGCACCCTGAAGAAGGGAGAAAAAGAAAACGGAAAGAGGGAAAGGGAAGAATGAGGGGCGATAATGGGGAGGAAACGTTGAAAAAGATCACGACGAGGAGCGAAGGCAAGAGGAGGAGCAGAAATAGGAAGGGCTGGATGTCTGAGATCCGACATCGTGGCTAAACACACATGTAGCATAAGACAAGTAACAAGTAATAATGCCGAGCTTGCCCAATCAAACAGACATGTTAGCCAGCGTAGACCCAAAACCGAAATTGATTGCACTGTGGATATGTACGATGTGGTGCAAGCTATGTGTACAGTGTAAGCTGTGGTGCAGAATGCGTGGTACGAACTCGAGGCAGCAACGAAGCGACACAGGGAAGCAACATGGCGAAAACTCGCCAGACACACCCAGCGCACGAGGTGGCGACGATGCGGCAACGAAGGGAAAAAGAGGCGGCAAGGCGAAACCAGGCCAGACCCACCCAGCGCACGAGGCGGCAACGAGGCGGGAACTGAGGGCAACCTGACCGAAACTTGGCGGCACCCAGCCAGCGCACGAGGCGGCAACGAGGCGGCAACGTGGCGAAACCTCGCTGGACCCAGCCAGCGCACGAGGCGGTAACGGGCGTGGTGAAACCTCGCAGGACACACCCAGCGCACGAGGCGGTAACAAGGCGGCAACGGGCCGTTACGTGGCGAAATCTCTGGGATAGCAGAAGGCAGGGTGGAGAGTCAGCTCAAGGGGCTGGTTGTCTTGGCGCCTCCAGGCTCTGGGAGGCGCAAATCTGTCGAGGAATGGGCCCGGCGGCGGGGCGGAAACCGGCTGCATGCAACAGATTTCGTTACCCCCCCTGCCCTATCCTACCCCGTCGTCTGGCCAGACACGCTGGACCTGCCCAGCGCCCGAGGCGGCAACGAGGCGGCAACGAGGCGGTAACGTGACCAAAAAGCCTCGCTGGACCCAGCCAGCGCACGAGGCGGAAACGAGCCGGCAACGGGCAGCAACGTGGCGAAACCTCGCTGGACCCTCGCAGCACCCTCCCAGCGCACGAGGCGGCAACGAGGCGGCAACGGGGCGGCAACGGGCGGCCACGGCAACGAGGCGGCAACGAGGCGGCAATGAGGCGGCAACGGGCGGCAAGGCGGTGAAACCTCGCAGGACACACCCAGCGCACGAGGCGGTAACGAGGCGGCAACGGGTGGCAACCTGACCGACACCTGGCGGGACTCCCCGAGGCGGCAACGCGCGGCAACGGGGCGAAACCTCGCAGGACCCACTCAGCGCACGAGGCGGCCACGAGGAGGCAACGGGCGGCAACGTGACCGAAATCTCGCTGGAGCCACCCGGCGCACGAGGGGGCATCGGGCGGCAGCGTGGCGAAACCTCGCTGGACCCATCCGACTCGTTGGCAATCCAAGTAAGAATCCTTGAGTTGAAGCACTGCTTGGGGAGGAACACAGCCAGAAAATCTCGACACTTTTCTGCTGCATGTCTCCAGCCGGATCGAGTCGTCAGGTACCCGGGACCTGAAATGGGGCGAACATCCTGGCGGACATGTTGGTACCACGCCACGCCGAAGGTCTGAGGGGAGAAGGGGGCAGAAAAGAGGGAGGCACAAACAACATCATGTGAGCCCAACCCCGCAGGTCAGATCTCCGAAACGCCAGTGGTGCTTCTTCACGAGCTGCAAACAGGTCAACATCCACGCCCTCGGGGTCTGCATTCCGGGGCGCGATTCCGTGCATACGCGGTCGCATGGATAATTACATTCTGCGCAGAGCCCACGAGTTCAGAGCCTGAGGGATCTCTGCAGTCAAGTGAACCCCAACAAGGATGCCTGATATCCCCGGCGTTGGTCGGTCCCCGCACGCAGGGGACGGGGTGCGCAACAAGTGGTTACGGCAAGCTCGTGCCGCTCGCTGGTTTCTGACACCGCGTGGGTCGTTCAGCCGAGAACGGTTGCGGCCTTCTGACAACCGAGATCCTTCAACACTGGACGAGCCCGGGCCGCCAGCGGTCTTCAACTTGAAGACGGCCGGGGGGTCTGAGCTGGACAAGTCCAGAGACAACTGGTCAGGGCTCCCCGGGCGCGGCCCTGGGGGGCCCCCGGAGCGCCCCACGGGGGCGCCAAACTGGTGTCAGGGCCCACGGCCTCAGGCCGGGGGCGCTCCAAGATGGCCCAAGCTGGTCTCAAGGCGGCCCTCGAGGCGCTCAAGACGCCCCAGGAGGGCTCCAAGACGACGCCCCCCAACGAGGGCCCGAAAAGAAGCAAATCATGGTTGTTGCTTGGGGTTTCAAAAGTCTTGGCGTTACCGCCGTTTCAAGCTTCCGACCGCCCAGGACGGCCCAAGAGGCCTTCAAGACTGCCCCGAATCAGTCCCAGAGGCTGACTTGCCGAGACGGCCAGAAGCGGCCTCGAAGACGGCCCACGAGGGCCCCAAGACGGCCGCAGGGGCCTCCCCAGAGGGCCCCCCGAGGCGCCAATGAGGGCTCCAAGAGGGTAAACCCGAACAAACATATCGAGCCTCCCCCGAAATTTGAACCCCCAGACCGCCAGCAGGCCCCCAAGAAGCCCTCAAGAGGACCCCAGAAGCCCAAAAGGATGCCCCACGGGGACCCCAAGAAGCCCCAGGAGGTCCAAAAAAATCCCGCCAAGAGACCCCCGAGAGGCCTCCCAAGAGACCCCAAGGAAACTTCCGAAGGGGCGTCTTGTCCGCGACCTAGTTTGGTCTCCTCCTCCTCCTCCTCCTCTTCCTCCTCCTCCTCCTCCTCCTCCTCCTCCTCCTCATCCTCATCCTCATCCTCATCCTCCTCCTCCTCCTCCTCCTCTGTCGAGTCCCCTTTCCTCCTTCTTGCCCGCCATGGAAATACCAACATATAGCAACAGTGGTGTATGGGCCAGCGGAATGGGCAAAGAGACTGAATTCGACGGCCCCCCTCCTAGGAGGCGCCTCCCCCCTTCAACCGGCCAATGATGCTTCGAAGATGCTTCGAAGATGCTTCGAGCTTCTATCAGCTCTGCTGGGGACGCGTAAAAAATACACGTGAGAATGTGCTCCCCGCGCGAGAGGCCCGCGCGCGTCACAGCCCGCGGGCCACGCGAAAACGCTGGTGAGGCCAACCGGCTTCGGAGGGGACCCTGAATCTCAAAAACTGTCGCTTCGCTCGGGACATCCTCGACATCTCGGACTCGGAGAGGGCTCTGGATTCCAACAATGGCCCTTTCGCTACGGACATCCTCGACACACGAGCCTCGGAGTGGACGTCAAAGTCTCAGTGATGACCGGTTCACTCGAGACGTCCTCGACAGTCTGCCTCGGAGGGCGCCTGGAACATGAGAAACCTGCGGGACGCCACGCCTGGCCCCCAGCGCCTGGTACCGGCCCTCGCCGAGGCAGCCTGGCCCCGACGCCCACGGAGTGCACAATCTGCGTGCAAACGTTCCCTCTGGGGGGCCCGCCGTGTCTCGCGCCCTGCCACCTGCGGGGCCTCGCCGTGTTGGCCTTCGAGGATAGACGATGGGATGCTGACGGCACGGGGGGGGGGGCGAGAGCCATGCAGAAGGCATGCTACGAGGGGCTTCGCCGACTCCACCCGCCGGCGATTATTCGAAGACGCTTCGAAGATGCTTCGAAGATGCTTCAAATATGACTCGAAGATGATTCGATGAGGCCAAGATTATCCACTCCTGGGGGCACGTAAGAAAAAAGGTAAAACGTCCGCGCATTCCGCCGGCTGTTTCCTCAATTCTCTTGGGCGCCTGTAAAAATACTGGTTAAACGTTCCCCCAGCGCTGGGCCCACGCGCGTGGCAGCTCCTGGGACACGTAAAAACACGAGGGAGATGTGCCCTCAGGGCTGCGAAAGCTTTGTCTCGGCGCACCCCTGACGCGCTTCCTGCTGCACACTTTACTGGGGCGCGTGAAAATGCTGGTGATCTACGTTTCGAAGCCCACGAAGGGCTCTATCCTAGACAACCCTCACGTGATCTGCGCTCTCAGGTGGACGCACCCCTCACGCTCTCAGCTGATCCTTCAGCTGGGTAGTCGAAGCCAATCTGGCGCCAATCTGGCAGGCCCAATCTGGCAAACGGGGGCAATCTGGCGAGGGAGCCAACGCGAATCCAGTCTGGCGAATAACCCAAATCATCCAGTTTGGCCCTGCCAGATTGGCCCTTGGGGCCCAATCCAATCTGACAGTCTGGCCTTCGACTACCCAGTTCAGGTGCCTCCGGGGAGCTGCAAGTCGGGGCACCCCTCACGAACCTCGCCCCCCATGGACACACTGCAGGCCGTCCGACCCCCACGGGACGCCAAGATGGCCACAAGGAAATACGGTCGGACCTAGGCCAGGAGAACACCCCTCAAGAACATGAGACCCTCCGCCGGCCATGACGCATAGAACATCCGAGGGTACCCCCCCAGGATGCACAAAAACATCCAACACACACGAAGAACACTGGAGTACCCTCCCCGAACCGACCTCGACCTTCTACCTCAGTCCGACTGTATTGCATTGACTGGTACCGACCCTCGACGAGGCAGCATCCCCAACACCCACGATTGCAAAATCCGCGTGCACACTCTTCCCTTCGGGGGGCCCGCGGTGCCTCCCGCCATGCGGGCTCGATTCGGCGGGCCTCCTGCGGGCCCTCGCCGCGTTAGCCTTCGAGGATAGATGATGGGATAGTGTGAAGGGGCCC